GGATAGGGGTGGACAGGAGGGGCCTGTCACTGCAGGTCACAAGGCCCACCCCACCTGGACACCAGGTCCAAGGTCCCAAGGTGGAGTCCAAGATTGATGGCCCACAATGGGTGGGGCTCCGAGCCCAGCACTCGGGGGGGTTCCACCAGCATTTCTGGGTGTCACCCACAGGGTCCAGATGAGGCTGGCTCGGGCAGGGCAGAAACTGAGCTCTCTCGAATGTGCTCCTTTGAAGTCCTCCTGGGGAGCTTCCCCAGACCTCTGGCTGTCCCCAGGCATCCGCATTTCCATCACAAGGTTGCAGAGGATCAGAGGGGAAGACTGACCACTCAGAGGGGCCTTGGCACAGCTGAGGGGGGGGCGTGTAGCAGGGCAGGGCCACCCAAACCGGTCAATCCACGCACCTTTTAAGTGTATGCTTCTGCCTGGGATGGAGTCTGTGGTCCCAGATACAGAAGTGCTGGAGATCCCACCGTTTCCTCCCCCATCTCCATCCCTCCTTCCTGCCAGCCCTTTCCTGGGCTCCTGCAGGACCGCTGTCCTCCCCCCCTGCCCAAGGCGGCCTCTGGGGACAAGGCTCAGGCCCCGTGTCTCTGTCTCCAGGGTCAGTATAAACTCTGGCCCCAAAAGGATGGACAGAATCAATGATAAATCAGTAGCAACAATAAATACAAGGGCGTGGGTGAAGACTGAGCAGAAGGAACTGGAGGCCAAGAGCAGCCCAGGCCCCTTCTCCTGGACTTCTCCAGAGGGCAGAGTCCCTCTAGCGCCCCCCACAGGAGAGTGTGGGAAACACATCCATCTTACCCCACATCATCCACACCAGTCCCCTTCTTGCTGCGGGCCACCAGCTTTCTCCAATCACCAGGCCAACAGGATTTCCCTGCCTCCCGGCCATGGCACAAGCTGACACCTCTGCAGAGAGTTTTCTGCTCTGCAAACTTCCAAACTCTACTCAAATGTGACTTCCTCTAAGAAGTCTCCCTAGGTGGGGTGGGGTGGGAGGTCCATCGATGTGGGCGCTCAGAGTTTCCTGGGATGAAATGATTCTTCCCTGGGACCCTTAGCTTCCCCAGGACTACAAAGCTGTGTTTAGTAGAGGCCAAATGACTGCATTTGCAGAAGAGGCAAAACTGGGCTGGGGGACTCTGACAGGATACAAAGCAGGGTGGCATGCTCTAGACAATATTTGATGGGCATCACAAAGTGGCATTAAGGTATATGGTAGGCATTCAAGTAGTTGATTGTTGACAAACTAGTGATTTGATGCTTACCTTAGCAGTAGCTCTCATTAAAAATAGAACAACAACAACAAAACCAAACCCTCACAGGTTCTGAACCGACAGTGAATCTACAGCAAACAGCATGGCTACTTTGCCAGTGTGCCCTCCAGACTTGGGCTCCACTACCCAAGGGCACATCTCTGAACTGGGAAGTGATCTGTCCAGGACACAGTTCTCTGACTTGTCAGCTCATCACTGTTGGATCCTGGAGGATTGACGGCACCCCTGAGAGGGGACTAACAGGAAAGCTTCCCCAACGCTTCCCTTCCCCCCAAGGAATGGCTGGGGACCAGGCGATGGGGAACCGGGAGAAGAGAAGGACATTTCAAGAGAAGGACACAGCCAGGAAGACAAAAGGCGGACATCAGGGGGTCCCCAGGTGGGACATCAGGGAGTTACCTTCCTGACAATAAATGGGGGTGCTCTCAGGGATGGGGGAAGCTTCTCAAGAGGAGGTGCTCCTGGTTGAGACAGCTGAGCAGGCTGCCCAACGTCCCTTGGAGGCCCTTCCCCAATTCTCAGAGGCTCCCTCGCCTCAGAGCCACCTTTACCTCACAGCCACTCTCACTTCAGAGGCACCCTCAACCTCAGAGCCACCCTCACTTCAGAGACACTCTCACCTCAGAGACACCCCACATCTCTGAGCCACTCTCACCTCAGAACCGCCCCACATTTCAGAGTCACCTTCACCTCAGAGGCACCCTCACCTCAGAGTCACCCTTACTTCAGAGACACTCTCACCTCAGAGTCACTCTCCCTTCAAAGGCACCCTCACCTCAGAGACACCCCACTTCTCAGAGCCACCCTCACTTCAGAGACACTCTCACCTTAGAGACACCCCACATATCTGAGCCACTCTCACCTCAGAACTGCCCCACATTTCAGAGTCACCCTCACCTCAGAGTCACCCTCACTTCAGAGACACTCTCACCTCAGAGCCACTCTCCCTTCAAAGGCACCCTCACCTCAGAGACACCCCACTTCTCAGAGCCACCCTCACTTCAGAGACACTTTCACCTTAGAGACACCCCACATATCTGAGCCACTCTCACCTCAGAACCGCCACACATTTCAGAGTCACCCTCACCTCGGAGGCACCCTCACCTCAGAGTCACCCTCACCTCAGAGCCACCCTCACTTCAGAGACACTCTCACCTCAGAGACACCCCATATCTCAGAGTCACTCTCACCTTAGAACCGCCCCACATTTCAGAGTCACCCTCACCTCGGAGGCACCCTCACCTCAGAGTCACCCTCACCTCAGAGCCACCCTCACTTCAGAGACACTCTCACCTCAGAGACACCCCATATCTCAGAGTCACTCTCACCTTAGAACCGCCCCACATTTCAGAGTCACCTTCACCTCGGAGGTACCCTCACCTCAGAGTCACCCTCACCTCAAAGCTACCCTCACTTCAGAGACATCCCACGTCTCAGAACAATCCTCACCTCAGAAGCACCCTCACTTCAGAGCCACCCTTACCTCAGAGTCACCCTCACCTCAGAGGCACCCTCACCTCAGAGCCACTCTCCCTTCAGAGGCACCCTCACCTCAGAGACACCCCACATCTCAGAACCATCCTCACCTCAGAAGCACCCTCACTTCAGAGCCACTCTCACCTCAGAGCCACCCTCACCTCAGAGCCACCCCATATCTCAGAGGCACCCTCAGCTCAGAGCCACCCTTCTAGATTAAAGTGATCTTTTTTTTGGTGGGGGGGGTGTCACACCCAGCAATGCACAGGGGTTATTCCTGGCTCTGCACTCAGGAATTACTCCTGGCAGTACTCAGGGGACCATATGGGATGCTGGGAATCGAACTCAGGTTGGCCGCGTGCAAGGCAAACACCCTACCTACTGCGCTATCGCTCCAGCCCCTAGATTAAAGTGATCTTAATGCTAGACTTCTGTCAGCCTTTCTAGAATTCTGTGACCCTAAATACAAATAATCCAAGCAGGGGACCCCGATAAGCCTCTTACCCTGACCCACTGGTTCAGAACTCACCATCCTCCTTGCTCCCCTCCTGTAGGGGTCACCTCCTTCCCCCACAGCCCCAGTGCTTGTCCTCTCAGCCTCTCACACCCCTGAAATGCAGTTTCACTCCAATAGCCAGGAGGTGAGGGAGCATCAGAGGGGGTGGCCCCTCCTCTCCCGCTCCTGTCTGGAATACTGCCCAATTCTCTGAAGCTGGATTTCTGCCCGTGCCCTTCACCCAGCAGCCTGCCGCCTGCCATGAGGCACAGATGTAGCATGGTGAGACAGGGGATGCTCGGGACCCCCAGGTACTGGGGCAAACACCTGGCTTGGAGAGTGGTTCCAGCAAGTCCCCCCACGTGTCTTCCTCCAGGGTCTGGGGTGTGGGAGGAGACAAGATACCAGTGGTCGCTGACCCCCTCAAGGAAGTCCCAGGTACCCTCCCAAGCCCCCCAACCCTTCCTGCCCCAGGCCCGCAGGAACAGAAGCGTCACTTGCAAGAGCAGAGGCTCTGAGATTATTGCAGACTTTATAGAAAACTGCCCAAGGGGTACAAGAGTTTGGGGGTGGGTAGGAAGACTGACCTCAAGCCTGGACAGTGAAGTGGGGAGACTTCCTAGGCAAGAGTCCCCCCATGCCTGCCATTCTGCCTGACCGAGGGGTGGGAGTTGGGGAGGGCAGTCCCCTCCCCTGTCCCCACTTGTGCTTTGGGATCATGCAGAAGGCAGAGGCCAGAAACGTGGGTCTGCACAAGGGGGCTCGTGCCTGAGTTGCCGGGGCACCCCACCATCTTCCAGAACGACTGTAGTGGGGGTGATGCAAATCCCCGCGGTGGAAGAGTCTCCAGGCTGGGTTGGAGCCAGGGAGCAGCCCCCAAGCCTTGGGCACCCCTGAGCCCCTCCCTCTTCTCCAGGGGACACCCACCTGACCTGACCACCAACTTTCCTTCCGGCTGCTCCCTATGTCTGTGGGAATGTGCCAGTCGGGCCCCTGGAACCCATTCTGCTGGAAGGAAAGAGAAATTAATCCCTCCCTGGAGCCTGAGCCGGGCCCAGGGGTGGGAACCGGGTACAAGCAATGGTGTAGCCAGACCCGAGAGAGAGGACCTAAGACTGGGGAGGGCGGAGGCCGGAGTCAGCAGCAAAGTGGGGACAAGCACTGAGTATTAGAGACAGCGGTGGGCGCGGATCCCCCGAGGGCTGGGAGACACAAGGCAGCTGGTCCTCACGCCTGAGTCTAAGAAGGGTGGAGCGTGCCAGCGCTGGGGTGGTGGGTGGTAGGAAACGTCCTCCGACTGTGGGGCGCCTGCCCAGGGCACCGCAGGGTGGGGGTCTCCACGCAGGACGGAGGCCTGGGCGGTCCAGGCGGAGATCAAAAGCGCTGAGTCCACGATCGCCTTCTGGTGGCCGCTCCAGGGCTCCAAGCTGGAAGGGGCTGGGGGGTCCCGTGCTGTGGGGGCGCTGACGTTCCGGACCGCGAGGTCAGCGCTCAAAGGACTGCGAGGGCTGGGTCCCGGGGCTAGTGCATCCTCGGACCGGGTCTCCGGGCGGGTCCCGGCAGGGGGCGGGGTCTTGGGTGGTCCGGGAGGGTGCGTCTGGGGTCTTGGACGGCGAGGTCTCTCCGAGGAGGCTGCACCGGGGGAGGACCCAGCTCGGGGGCGTCGCGGCGGGGGCGGGCGCGGAGCAGCGCCACCGGGGGAAGGTCTCAGGCGGAGTCCCCCACCGCCGCGCCCCAGAGCGCCGCGCTCAGAGGCCCGAGCCCGGGGAGGTGGCGCGGGAGCCGGCGGGCGCGGCGGGCGCGGGCGCGCGGCGCGGGTCGGCGTCCTGCTCGTAGCGGTAGTGGTACCCCTCCATCTGGTCCCGGCAGGCCTCCCGCAGGTTGCGCATCCAGCGCTGGATGCCGCGGCGGTTCAGGTAGAGCACCATGAGGAAGATGAGGCCGATGAGGGCCAGCACCAGCCCGAAGAAGACGTACGAGGCCTCGAGCTCCGGGCCGGCCGGCTCGGCGTCCTCGGCGCCGCAGCTCAGGCTCGCGTCGTCCAGCTCGGCCAGGGGCCGGTCGAGCAGCGCGCGCGGCGCGGCGCAGCGCAGCCGCCGCCAGTCGGCCACGCGCTCGGTGGCGTTGCGCAGCCAGGCCAGCAGGGGGCGCGCGGCGCAGTCGCAGCGCAGCGGGTTGCCGGCCAGCAGCAGGCGCGGCGCGGGCCGGCCGCCGGGGCGCTCGAGCGCGCGCAGCTCGTCGGGGCCCAGGCCGGCCAGCGCGTTGCGCCGCGCGTCCAGCTGCTCGAGGCGCGGCGGGCGGCAGGCGGCCCAGCGCGTTCTCGGCCAGCCCCAGGCGGCGCAGCTCGTGCAGCGGCGCCAGCGCGGCGTCCAGCGCGGCCAGCAGCGCGGGGCCGGCGCGCGCCAGCGCGTGCGTGAGCTGCAGCGAGCGCAGCGCGGGCAGCCCGCGGAAGGCGCCGGCGCCCAGCGCGCGCAGCGGGTTGTGGCTCAGGTCGAGCGCCGCCAGGCTGGGCAGCCCGTCGAAGGCGCCGTCCTCCACCACCTCGATGTTGTTGTGCGTGAGGCGCAGCGCCGTGAGCAGCGGCAGGCGCACGCCGGGCGCCGCGGGCTCGGGGTCCCCGTCGGCCGCGCCGCCGGCGAAGGCGGCCGCGCGCAGCACCGTCAGGTTGGCGCCCACGATGGTGAGGTTGCGCGCGTCGGGCGGCACGTCCCGCGGCGGCTGCCGGAGCTCGGCGCCCGGCGCGCAGCGCAGCAGCAGCCGCGGGCTGCCGAAGCAGTAGCACTGGAACGGGCAGGGCGCGGCGGGCCGGCTCAGCGCCGCCGCCACGAGCAGCAGCGCGGGCAGCCGCGGGGCCATCGCGCCCGCCCGCCGCGCCCTCCCGGGGGCCGGGGGGCGGCCGGCCGCGGAGGGGCGCGGGGGGCCGAGTCCTCGGTCCGGAGCGGCGGGCCGGCGAGGCGCGCTCCGCCGCCGGCCGGCCGCGCGCGTCCCAGGCGCCTCGGGGAGGGGGTCCGACGGGCGGGCGGCCGCTCAGCGGGCAGGGCCGGCCTCCGCCCCGCGCGGACTCCGGCTGCCGGGGAGAAGTTTGCCTCGCTCCCCGCCCCGGCTGCCTCCTCCTCCGGGCACGTGCGGGGCGGGGCGGGGCGGGGCGGGCGGGGACGCCGGGCAGGTGGGTCGGCCCCGCGGGCGCGCGAGGGCTGGGAGGACGTCCGAGCGCCGCGACCCGGCGAGGCCGAGAAAGTTGCCCGGCGCCCCTACCCCCTCGCTCCCCTCCTCGGCCGAATCTTGGGGCTCGGGAGCGGTTGGAGAACCCCCGAGCCTGGGGGCGGGGGTCCCTCTGCCACCCTAGTGCCTTTAGACCCGGCGGTGCTGGCACCCCCTTTGCGCAGGCGGGACCCGCGTTTCCGAAGCCCAGCCTGACCTGAAGTCTGTCCCCCAGCCCGATGCTCGCCCCGTTCCGGGGCTGCTCCCTGGGAAGTGCTTCCTTCTGGTCTCCTCCTCCTCCTCCAGGCGGCCCCCGCCTTCTCTGGCGCGGGGACCCAGAGGTGGTAGTGATTCAGCGCCCTGCCACCTGGGCCCGCCTGCCCCAGCTCTGGGGGCACCCACGCTCTCGGGGCTCTTCGGACACCACCCCCCTCCAACCCTCTTCCAGGCCTCCACCTCTCTCAGTGGGGTGTGGAGGGGGCGGGGAGAAGGGGCGGGGAGAAGAGGCCTGGGACCCCCAAGGCTAAGGAGAAAACAGGTTTTGGATCTCAGAGGACTCCAGGGCTGGGTTGGTGGGGGCTGCTGCTATGTTTATAGGTTTGTTTTGTTCTCTCTCTTCTCCCCTCCACCCCCCCAAACCCGGAAGGTCCAGACATGATTTAAAGAGACAGGCTCCCGAGAAAGGCACGCTCCTTGCCTTGGCATGAATTATTCAGGCTGGAGCTGCAGACACTTGATCTCTGAGCCATTCCGGTGTCAGCAGAGCGGGCTGGGATAGAGGTTTCCTGCCCCTCCACCCCCCAGGAATTAGTCAGTCTCTCCTGAAGTAGGAACTCGGGCTGACTCCTTCCCGGGGCTGATATTTAAGAGATTGACCAACAGATCAATAGCACTTAAGGAGACGAGGCAGACCCTGGGAGACCCGGGCTGGGACCAGGAAGAGGACCCAGGACTGCTTGGGTTGGTGAAGAACGATTGCCCCTCCCACGCCCCCCCCCCCTGTTTTTCCAACCCTGTCCTGCGGTCCCTGATGTTGATAGATGAGACCTGTAAGCTGCCTGTGTAGGACTGAATGGGGTGCAGGAGAGGGTGCCGGGATTTCTACATAAACAGACTAAGGGGATCTGCATGAACCCCATATGCTCATGCTCTCTGGGGGGTCCCTGCGACTGGGGAAGGCACATTCAAGCTGCTGCCTGGTTCCAGGCAGGCTCAGAGATGCTTCCTGCGAGGCTGTGTAGCTACGTTGGTCCAGGAGCTCCTAGGAGCAGAAGCCTGTGTCTGCAGAGGCACAAACACTCCCATGCTCACCCGTGACTGCTGCCTGTGTCCCAGATGGGCCCTGGGCCTGCTCCCGACAGCCCAGGCCCTGGTGTATTTTTTTCTTCTATGGACTCAAGTGTTCTCAGGAGACACCACCTTTGGGGTCAGGCCTTGAGTTACCTGTCCGTGTGGGCTCACATCAGCTCCAGGCCTCAGTTCCCCCAAGAGAAAGGGAAGGTGTGGTGAGTATTGCAGAACGAACAAATGAGCAGGAAGGTCTCTGCTTTTCTGGCTTTCCTGGAGAACCCCTGCAGCCTCCAACCTCAGGAGGCAAAGCCTCCTCCCTGGGCCTTGAAGGCTTTGGCTTCTGAGACCCCCGCCCCATGAAAAGAGCTGGAGGGCTACAGGGGGCATCCATTGATGTGAGACCGGCTGGTTGAGGAAAGGAGATCTGGAGAAGAACTAGAGTCAGCAGAGAACAGGCCGTGATCGTGTTTTGTAAATGGGAAACAGGCCAGAGGCCAGCGACTTGCCCTGAAGCCTGAGTTAGTCCAGGGCTTTGATGGGGGCCTTAGCCAAGGGAGTGGCTGCATCTTAGTGGGCCCAAAGTGGGGGGTCGGAGCCGTAGTCAAGCAGGGAGGACATTTGCCTTGCACACAGCCAACCCAGGTGCCAGCTCCGCATCCCATAAGGCCACCTAGCACTTCCAGGAGTGATGCCTGAGTGCAGAGCCAGGCGTGACCCTGAGCATCACCAGGTGTGAAGAGGGCCCACAGGGAAGCCTTGTCCCCACCCGGGGAGCTGAGCCCCAGAGCACTTCCCTGTGGCTGCGGTGACTTTGGACCCTTCTCTCCACATCCACGCTGTCAGCTCCCACTTCTGCCGAGTGAGTGGCTTCCGAGTTGCTCCCTCCTGCTTCCCTCCAAGGGAAAAGTGACTGGAAGGTGATTTGGGATGTGGAGGCTGTTCCCCGCTGGGAGCCGGGGGCCTTGGAACCTGCCCGCCCTGCTGAGCCCTCATCATGGGAGTCTGGCCTGCACTGTGCAGGGCTCAGCTCTGGACCCCAAATCTCTCCCGTGCTTTCATCCTCCCGCCCCCAGCCCAGAGAGTCCTGCGGGGTAGTGGGCATCTCTGCCCGCTGATGTCTCTGCTTTACCGTCTTGGGTTCGGTTCCCTTGAGAGGAACAGCTTCTCTCCTCTGGGGGTTGCTGGCATTCGGTATGCAGTAGGCACACAGTAAATGCATGCCCCTGCATCAGAGGATGTGCATTGATTCTTGGATGCATCCTGTGCAGTGAGTGTGTCTTTCCCCAGCCAGTCTGTCCCACTCGGGCTGCTCTTTCCCCTTGACTCTCATCCTTCGCGGATTACTGAGTGTCACTCCTGCCATCTCCAGGAAGCCCTCTTGGCTTCCTTCTTTGGATTGGTTGTTGTTGCGGTATAAAGGAACTACTCAGAAGTACTGAGTGACAGTACCGGGAATGCTCAAATGGCCAGGGCCACATCTGGGCATTCTTTGGGGCTCGTGCAGTGTCCAGGATCAAACCCAGGGCTTCATCCTGCAGACCTGTGCTGTCCCACCGGAGGCCACCTCCCCAGGCCCCCCTCCGGTGTCCCTGTCACTGGGGCTCAGAGCTGGTCTGATTTGCTCTGTGGATGCCACCCAGTGGGAGCTGGCACGGAGGAGGCCCGGCTCTGCCTTGCCGTGAGGCTGGGTGAGGCTCGGCCAGGAGCCTGTGCCGCCCGCCGGAAGGTTAAGTGGCTCCCCAAGGTGGCGGAGCAGTGGGACGCAAGCCAGCAGCAGCTCCGGTGTCCTCTCCCTCCGCCTCGGCACTCCCTGGCCCGGGCTCCCTCTGAGGGGGCCGCCCACAGGTCAGATGGCTGTGGGCACAGGGCCCTGGGGCGTCCAGCCGGCCGGAGGCCCAGCTGAGGACCCCCAGATCTGCTGTGCTCGGGCCCCAATTCTCCCACTTCTCCAGCAAAGTCTCTCAGCCCTGCTGAGATGCTCTCTCCTCTCTGCACCCCACCTTCCCTTGCCTGTGTCCTCCCTACTGAGAGCTCCCCGGGCCCCCTCCCAGGGCCCCCTGCTGTCACCGAGGGCCTCTGTGTGTGCCTAACATCCCGGGCAATGCTGTAGTTAGACATAATTAAAGTCCTGGGCTCAGCTCTGCTGCCCCCAGACTAGCTGTGGGCATGGAGGGTCTGAGCAGCCCTGGAGAATGAGGGAGCCCCCTGGCCCCTTTGGGCTGGGGGTGAGAGGGGAAGGTCCTACTTCCCTTGACTGTGCCTCGCTCCCCAGCTGGGAGGTGGGCTGCCACGGTCTGGATTGGGTGGGGTGTCTTAGGTCTGATTCTGCATCAGCCTCTCTGATTTGCTCCCCCTCCTCTGAGATTCCATGAGGAACAGCCCTGCAGGGTTGAGCTCGCTTTTGGAGGGTGGAGGAAAGTGCCTGGAACAGGCAGGCAGGGGAGGCCCCCGCTTCTCTTTTGAGTCAGCTGAGAAGGGAGCACTGGACTGCGAGTCACTGCTATTTGCTCCTGTTTCTCCTAGCTCCCAGCGTGAGCCCCTGAGAAAATCCACAGACCCCAGATTCATTTCTTCCCTGGAGACAGCAGGGGCCAGGCTGGCTCTGAGGGTCAGGGGGGCAGCGACTCTTGAGTGACTGCCATTCAGCGCCCTCTCCTCCCTCTGTGCAGGACCCTGGTTGGGGGCTTTAGTCAGTGGACTGGGGTGGGGGGAGTTTGGAGATTTGGGTGCTCCTGCTCTCCCATTCCTTCTCTCCCCTCCCTCTCCTTCCCATATCTTCTCCTCCCCTTCCTTTTCCCTCACTCCTTCCCCTTCCTCCCCTTCCCCTCCCATTCCTTCTCTCTCCTCACTCTCCTTCCCATCCCTCCCCTCCTTTCCCTTCACTTCCTTCCCTTTCCTTTCCATGTATTTCTCCCCGTCCCCTCCTTTTCTCTCCTTTCTCCTCCTTCCCCTCTCCTCCCTTTCCTTCCCCTCCCTTGCCCTCCCTTCCGAAGGTGGAGGTCAGGACAGGCCAAGGGCAGTGAGGCCTATTTCAGTGGAGGTCTCCTTAAAACTCAAGACTTCAGCAGCTTACCGTGTAGCTGGGCAGGGTGGGAGCATGCCCGGGGCCCAGATTCTTGGCAGTGGACATTAGTGGACCCACTGTTCAGTGTTGTTTGGAAGACAGGATGGGCATTTCAGTGGGTTCTGTGGGATTGCTGTGGGGTTAAGTGTTGTGTTGGGCTCTCCAGAGTGATGACGGAAGGGGGCCTGTAGCTGAGGCTTTCCAGTTCTCTGCTTGGTGCTCACTGCCCCGTTCCAGGCAGGCAGCTGGGACCGAGGGATGGGGGTGAGAGAGGCAGGGGACCCCCCGTATGCATCTGGGAGGGACTTTTATTCAGCTTCCTGAGCATGCCCTTGGGTTCCAAGATCCTGCT